AATGAGAATGTGAGACTCAACCCTATCTATTAAATAAGAAAAAGGAGTCAGGTCAAAATTTAATCTTTTTATTTTTTTAATTGGTTAAATATTGATTTGACTGTTGACTTCTAGCGTTGACCGTTGACCGTAGTTTGTACCCCGTTGTCCTTAAAGTCTGCGCTCGCCCCTGTTTCACATCATATCTCTGTCTCACTTTTATATTAAATCAATTTTAATTATTTTATTTTAAATTTTAATATAAATTCAATATCCCACCTACAACTAATCATACCATTAATTTTTTTTTTAAATTAACCATATTTAATCAAAAAAACTTGTTTTGAGTAGATATATTTGTATCCAAGCCATAATAGAGATCGGTTAATAATATCGTTTACTAATATATGACAATGACAACCTTAATTAAGAGAGGTCCGAATTGAATTAGGGTATTTGAATGACGTAATTATCCTCGAGCTAGTACATAACATATCATTGACTATTATCTGAAGCACAAATAACAATATATAACAGTTACGCACAACCCGAAAGAATAAGCAACATTTACTAATCATTATATATATATAACTTCATATGTAAATTAACTAGACTGTAAGATNAAAATAGTTTTAAATTTGTATCAACTTATAAATCAAAAAAATAGAAATCTTATTGATTTTGTTGGGAGATGAGAAAAGGATGAATGTGGCATGCAGATGCAATTTTTTTATATATTGATATAAAATTAATTGCTTGCATGTAACATACAGCTGGGAGCTTTTGGAAGGATATGCACATGAAATAATGAAATAATGGATTTCACCGTTTTGATATGGAGCCATCGAATGACTCGGCTTATGAAGTCATCCACACTTATTCACCAATACTATATTGACATGTGTCCTGCAATAAATACACTTTGGACATGTGTCAATACATTAAGTGGTGGATGACTCCATAAGAAAACCATCCGATGACTCCATAGAATTTTTAATGGATTTCATATATAAAAAAAATAGTGATTTTTTTTAGAAATATGATTTTAGCTATATTTAACACTTAAATTATATGAAATAACTAACTTAATTCACTGAAGCATATAACTGAAGGTATATTTGGTAAATAATAGCATTTTTTATTAGTAAAAATAACTAACTAATATTGCAATTTCAATTACAAAAATTTAATTTCTACATAGACCTTTTCGAAATTAGATTTTTATTCAAAAAATTACTCTGAACCGCTACATATCAAACAATAATATTAATGATGCTGACCGGTTAAAATTTTTATTTTTATTTTTCTTAAAAACGCTATTTACCAAACAAAGACTTTTGTAGACTTTATGCTATAATTATACATATACATTTGAAAAAAAATGATATGTCCACCTCTTCAAGCAAAGACTTTATACTATAAATATACATATATACATTAATTGTAATTGAAAAAAAAAATGACATGTTCACCTCTTTAAGCATTATTCAGGCTACACTGTATAGTTTCTTTAACGTTGTTGCGAGACAAACAATAATTTTAACAATTATATATATTCAACAAATTATTTATTCAATTTTATATTAAAATACCATAATTTAAAAATTAATATAATTAATTGTATAGTATTTAATTATGAAGTAAGTATGTATTTTTCATATAAAAAAACATATACAGTAAACAATTATGCTGGCTAACATGAGCATTTTATGTTCTCAACTTTGAGTAACATTTGAAGTGGAAATAGATAAAAATAAAACCAAAAGCACACAACACATGCAATTGCAAAGCATATATAAGACATTAAAGTAAAGGTTAAATTGAAGTCAATACATTTTACCTTTCCCTCCGTACTTCAAACCCAAACAAAATCATCCAAACATAGTCAATTATTACTTAAGTGCATATATTTTCAGTACGGTTTTG